TGAAGCATTGAATAAAAGAATCCTAGTAAGTGGTGACTGCCTCAAAAGAGGGAAAATCTGGGTATACTTTACCCACTTTTCTTTTTTTTCTTTTTCCTTTCTTTCTTTCTTTCTTTTTTTTTTTAAAGCTTTGGCTTCATTATTTTGCTTGAGTTTTTTCCTTTACCTCCACAATGTGCGTTAATATTTAAACTCTCTTTTAGCTAAAGTGTAAGTCTTTTTCCTTTTAGAATTCTACTTGCAAAACAAGTAAAACAGATTTTATAGACTGAGGTAACTAGTTCTATCTAATGAATAACTTTTAAAAAATTTAATCTCATCATAGCCCAACTTCAGTTCATACTTTTAATATGGCATTCCTTTTTTGCATGCCCCCTCCCTTAGAAAGTAGAAAGTGTTTCCAAAATTTATTTGTTTTTAAATCACCAAATTTTATCTTTTCCACAGATAATATCACCTACTGCATTATTTTTGGCTGCAAAAGTAGAAGAACAGGCTCGAAAACTTGAACATGTTATCAAAGTAGCACATGCTTGTCTTCATCCCCTAGAGCCACTGCTGGATACTAAATGTGATGTATGTAAAAATTGGGTGTTTTGGGTTTTGAAACCTTTTCATTATTTAGATTTAATAAAAATACAATTCGATTAGTGTTGCCTTCCAATGCTGCTTATTACTATTACGACTTAGGAATGTAATACCAGGAAGTGATCTGACAGAAACATATTTCATGTTAATGTTCATGAATTTCATTGTCATTCTGCGTCATGTAAAGCTTTGATTCAAAGGTACTTTTTAAGTGTTTCACATTTTGTTTATCCTCACAGCAAACCTGTGATATATGTAGAGGGTATATCATATCACCTTCATAGTTTGGGTGTATTTAAGACCAGAGGTATATAATTCTCTTAAATTGTCGGCAAGTAAGGGAATAGAAAAACCTCTGGATTTATCTCTAGACCAGTAATTACTCTTTTTATGGAAGTGTTCCTTTATTAATGCGTGTATGCTACTACTATTCTCTGACACATAAAGATTTATTTTACCATGCTTTCATGAGTGTCATTTTGAAATTATTTTTATTTTCCTAAAGCGTAATACTGGTTTACAGGCAGCTTGTTCATCACCAGTGTTTCAATAGACCTTGTTTGAAAACACCATTTTTAAATGTTCTGACATCTTAAAACAGAAGCTAGCCTTCTGGGCCTTTGAAATCCTTTTTCTAGCACTCCTATGTAAGTGAGTTGCTTTATCAGGAACTGTTAACTACTGAATGACTACCAGACTGTATTAATTCAGTTTGATTTGGATCAAGTTTAAGGTCCAAATTAAATATATCTGATTTTATTAATGACAGGTTTTATCCTACATGTTGGCTTTTAGGGACTAAAATATTAATGTAGCTATTCAATAATAGAGAATGTATGATTATTTAAAGTTACTTCTTATAGTTTCTATTAACTTTACAAATTCAGAATTATTTCTTGTGAATGCTTAGGGTATTGTTCAAATAATAGAAAAATCTGTGTTTTAAAATTCAGCTCAGTGATCTCAAAATGGGCATAAATAAAGGTGCTTTCACTCTAAGTTTAGCAATATGTCCTTAGAAATGAATGTTTATATATAATATAGTTTCCTTATCACCTTAGTCAATTGTCATGATATAAGAATGAGATGGCAGGAAAGTTTTCATACCTTTTATTCCCCGAGTAATTACATTAGGGCAATGATTTATTGAAGTTGAGGGAGAAGATCGTCTGTGTTTGTCCCCACAGGTGTATGGTACATTGTTTTGGTATTTTATAGCTAAAATTTTTTCTTTTAATCTAGGGGTTTGAGGGATTGTTTTATTTTGTCTTTTCTGAAGAGAGGAATTTAATTCTAAAAAATAACGCACTGACCTACTGTGACAGTCAAGGAATTACTACATGAAATATCCTAGAGTGAGTTGATAAATCCTTTTCTTTAAAGGCCAATTCGAATTTAATCTTACTTGGGTTGGCGCTTCCTGTACTTAATGAGTCTTGAAGCACCAATGCCTAGGTAAAGTTTTACGTTACAGACTGGAGATGTCTTTTTTCAATTAACCTACCCCCTTTCATATTATTATTTTTAGATTGGTGTTTGTTTTGTTTTGTTTTGTTTTGCTTTGCTTTGTTTACATTTCCTGTATTAGAAGTAATTGAATTTAGAGTTTCCTGTATTAGAAGTAATTGAATTTAGAATTATCACAGAAAATAGGTTTTCTCTATCACCCTCAGTTTTATTTTCTTCATATTTCCAAACTACCTTGTAGTAGTTTGTAATGAATCTATAATACTCATGAGATTTAACAGTCCCATAGTCTAGTAGTGTTATGTTTATTAAGCATTTTAATATTATTATTTTTACCTGGCAGGCTTACCTTCAGCAGACTCAAGAACTGGTTTTACTTGAAACCATAATGCTACAAACCCTAGGTATGTACTTATGTCAGGTATTATTTGTGTGTGTGTGTTCTTCAGTGCAGTATTCTAAATAAAGGAAAAGATTTCTGGAGTAATTTTATCATTGAAGAAAGTTTCATTTGAAAATAAAGTTTGGTGCCAGAATAGTATTGCCTGGTTCTAAGGAAGCCATTTTTTAAATTTTAATTTTGTTTAGCATTTAATTGAATGGCAAACATAGCCTTCAGTGTGATTTCTTATATTTTCAGATAGTTGAGACACTGTGCTTCATTTTGGATTTGCATTGGGGAATAAAATGGTCCTTTAGGGCTGTGGTGTATGACTGTAATATGTATAAACATACATGGCAGTCCTGCTGTACTAGAGCTTATGAATTTATCACATCATTTTATTGTATTTTTTTAAATATTTATTTGGTTGCACTGGGTCTTAGTTGGGGCAGGTGGGCTCCTTAGTTGAGGCAGGCAGGCTCCTTAGTTGCGGCATGCGAACTCTTAGTTGCAGCATGCATGTGGGATCTAGTTCCCTGACCAGGGATGGAACCCAGGCCCCCTGCATTGGGAGCATGGAGTCTTATCTGCTGTGCCACCAGAGAAGTCCCTATCACATCATTTTAAATGTGACATAGTAGTTTATTTAAATGTTGATCGTCCTTGTCTAAAAGTTATATTGTCTGCAAGGTTTGTGCAACTTAAGTATCTGTAAAAATTGTTTATTCTAATCTTTTACTTTACTCATGAGGAAATTGAGCCCTAAGCAGGTTTTGACTGTGTACAGTCATATATTACTTCTGGAAGAACCTAGCAGGGTGTAGTGGGAAGAACATAGGCTTTATGGAGATCTGCGCTTAAATGTGTAAGCCTCTTTACTTTCCAAACTTGGTCAGAGTTCCTTTACCTTTCGTACCTCCATCCTGTATGTGCAAGGTGGAATAATAATGTAGCTATAACATTGTGACTTTGAGGATGAAAGATTGTTGTGGTTTTTTGTGTTTTTTTTTTGCTGTATGCGGGCCTCTCACTGTTGTGGCCTCTCCCGTTGCGGAACACAGGCTCCGGACGCACAGGCTCAGCGGCCATCGCTCACGGGCCCAGCCACTCCGCGGCATGTGGGATCTTCCCGGACCGGGACACAAACCCATGTCCCCTGCATTGGCAGGCGGACTCTCAACCACTGTGCCACCACGGAAGCCCGAAAGATTGTTTTTTTTAAAAATTGCCACATAGTGTTTCATAAATAATCATTATTTATTATGGTAGTTATTTTTATCTTACTTATACTCCGTTCCCAAATGTTGAATAGAAGTCTAATAATCATAGCTTTCCATCATGACAGATTCTTTTTATTACAAAAGTAGGTTGTTTGAAACACATATAACTTGTTGAAAGTTTTTATAATATAAATATATAAAAATAAAAGAATATTTTTATTCCCTCCAAATCTATTTAGCATGTTACCATTTTATTATATAAATATGAAATTTTACAAATAATGAAAGTTGAAGGAAAATAACATTTTAAAATAGTTATTTTATCATATGAAATCAATGTATCGTATTCATATTGTTGACGACAGATTCTTAAACACAGAGAATGAATAGCATTATTTTAAGGGGAGCATTAGAATTTACAAGATACAACTATGGCTCTTGTTAAAGTGCGATTTTGCAGGTTTAATAACAGTAGAAATGTGAAGAGACCACACAATAACTTTATAAATCCAGATAATCTGTTTATTAGGATGTTATTCCTTTACTACTGCTGAAGGCACCATACAACGACCTCCACTTTAAAAAAAAAAAGGAAACGGAAAAACCCTGCCCTACCTAAGGGGTTGACTGGACATGATAGCTTTTCAATATGTTGTCTTTGGTTTTAGAAACAGTGATTTAATCTTGAGGCCTATAAGGTTCACTCGCCTTAACAATTTTATTTTTATTAGTAATGAAATGTAGTTATAAGCTAACTGAAACCCACTGATCTAAGGTACAGTGAGAAAATAAGAGGACCATATTTAAAAGGTCATTTCTCCCACTGTGGCCCAAAGGTTGTATTTATGAAAAATGTTCTTTTCACATCTTCTGAAAGAGTTGGAATATATTTAAGAAATACGTTACGTAGTTGAATTCCCTCCTTAAACTGTGGGGCAAGCTTAATGTATTTGTCATGATTTTAGTTTTTTTTTTTTTTTTTTAGTTTGTTTTTAACTTGAGGATAGTCTCAAACTAATTGTAATTGAGAATTTTGAATACATATTACTTATCTCTAAATAACTTTGTCAGTTTTCATAATTGGAACACTATTTTTGAGAAGATATTATTTATTATAATTGGGGGTATAATAAACATGTCAGTGATGGGAAACTTTGTCTTTGAGTTTTTTTAATAATGAAAAATATACGTTTATGGTTATGAGTGGCATTTCTCAGGCAAGTATTATAGTGGTAAATGACTGGGAAAAAAAGTGCTTTTCATTTCAGGTTTTGAGATCACCATTGAACACCCACACACAGATGTGGTGAAATGTACCCAGTTAGTAAGAGGTAAGTGAAACTTTTAAGTTAAGTTTTAATGCTTTTTATTGTCTATAATTGATAATTGAATGCTATTTTGTTCTAGCCTTGAGTTTTATTAAAATGGCAGAAATGTCATTTTGAAGCATTATTTTTCAGTGTTCTACACCTGCCTATTCATCTACTTCTATTTTTGGTTCTTCCTGGTGAATTAGCTTCCTTTAACTTTAGGTGAGAGTCTCGTTTCTCTAAAAAATTAGAGGGCTTCCAAATACTAGGACTCTTTCTACTTCCCCATTGGGCTATGCCCACCCCAATTCAGGTAGTATTTAAGATGTAGGCCAAATTTAACATATAGGTGCAGAAAATAGTATTGATTTCCAATTTATGTCAAACTTTGATTGACTTCCTGAAAAGTGATTACGGTTTAAGAATTCAAATCTTTCAGGTAAAAATTGCCTTTCTTAGCGGATTTGTCATTTTGGGAAATGTTTTGCCCATGTTCGTTTGAACAGCATTGATTTAATACATTTTTCAAAGTTCTTTAGCATTACTAAAAATGGTTTCCTTTTTGTGTATAATGAGGAAATTATTATATAGCATGATATATAACAGCATGTGATGTACTTATTAAACCTTTTATAAACAGGAGTACAAAGTTTTTGTATTGTTTTCTTTACTCCTTATAAAGCATGTGGTATATATTTTTCTACTCTTGTTAATGAATCCTGTGTATCTATCGTTGTATCTCTAGAAATAATTTTTCACACAGATGCATGCAGTACTACTACTTTCCTGTTTACCATGTGAAGTGTTACACACTAATAGCAACCACTTGGAACCTTTAGTGTGCCTTTTTCTGATACTTCTTTTTGAAAATGAAATTTTGCAGTTTCATTCCTTTACCACCAGACTTGTTTAGGTTTATTCTAAACAAAATGGGTAAGACTTTTGAAGGCCTTGAATCTAGTGTTTACCTAAATGTTCTCTTATTCATTCTAAATTGAATTCACTTTATACCTAGGTTAAAGTTTTATTACTATGCTAATGGCTACATATAAAAACAGACAAACCTGTTGTCTGGTACCACAGTTGTCATTGTTAAGAAATGGACTAAACAAAAACAAAAAAAACAAAAAAAAAAGAAATGGACTAATAAAAATCCCATTTATATTTTTTTAATCCTAAAAGCAAATGTTATCATTTATAAACTAAACTAGAACATATTTAATTTTGGTTTCTGTTCTTCATGGTTATGTATTTTATAGCACTTTCTCATCCTCAGTATTACAGTGTAGTATAGAATTGTATAGATAACTATTGTAGATGTTGGATTAAGCAATAGAGCTTGAGAGAAGTTCTGTTTTCCTGAAAACTTGGAAGGGTAAGCTGTTTTGTTTAAATAATGGAGAGCTATATAATTTGCCTTAAGTTGAGATTAGTAAAGAAAGATGTTGAAGATATTAAATATAGGTTAAAAATATGTATGTGTATGTGCATATACATACACACACACTCTTAGTAGGAAATGAAACTGAATTTTCAGCTTAGTATTGTGAAATTTGAGTCAGCTTCTCTTAAATCCTATCTAAAGAAGCTAGAGACATTAAAGTCCATTTATTTTGCAAAATTGAACAGTAAAATTTAAACATTTACAAAAACTATGAATTTGATATATCATCCAAAGCAAAATATTTAAATCTGATTTTTTTGTTGTTGTTTAAAATGTGACCAATTCTTAAATTTTAGTATGACTCTCATATGTGTTTAACATCATTTTGTCTGACTAACATTTCAAGTAACTATAATTTTCATCTTACTGCATTTTTAAAATGTTCTTTCGTGTTTGGTATATGTTTTTTCCTTTGCTCCTAAAACCACTTTCAGCTAACAAAAGAACATTTTCCCTACATTCTTCTTTGTTGCAATGACTTTTAATAGGTTATTGAATTAACATTTGTTCTGAGGTGAAAACTGCAATAGCAGTTTAAACTTATTTTTACTTACTTTTCTATATGTTTTGATTCTTTCGTGGGTGGGGGTGAGGGTAAAAGGTTTGAGTTCTTTGAAGTTCTCCCCTGCCCCCGACCTCTGGAGATGAGAAAGTTATTATGCTACTTTGCTGCAGGATTGGCTGATGTCATTTTACAGGGACCTTTCATTTCTGTGATTTCTCCTTCCCTCCCCACCAGGAAAGAATGCCATACTTAAGTCACACTGCCTCCAAGACATCTGATGCTTTGACACTCTTCCTTAGCACAACTCTGCTAAACCCAAATCCCTTTTGTAAACCTTTATGTTGATGATCCACATGGGGCAGCAGGGAATTACAGGTGCCACAAATAAAAATAGGAGAGGGCAAGGAATTTGAGACCTGTTAGAGGGGGTGAGCTGAGGTGAACTGATCCTAGGTGAGCAGAGAGGAAAGGTATGTCAGTGATTATGAATGTAACTGGGGAAAGGGGGGAGACTATAGCAGAGGCATCCCTGTTGGGAAGAATAAGAAGCAGAAGAAGGGAGAGGGGCACTGTTTTCCATTTCAGTGTTTCAAGAAGCTAGTTGTTAAAAATTGCTTTTCTATTGAGGACCAGTATTGAAGCATCCTGATTCCCTCTAGAGTACTTGTATCTTTTCTAACGTTATGGTTACCTGGATTATATAATTTAAAAATAATACAGTGGTGTTTTCTATATCTACATCCTTATAATGTTTCTAGGTTGTTTATTCTCTGTTGATGCTTAGTAGCATGATGAAAAACTGAGCAGTTTGTGCTCTCTGAGTTTGGGGGTTGGGGGTTTGTTTTTGTTTTTTCTTTTGGTGGAAGTACTTAAACCAACTTAAATATGATGACTGAGGATTAAGTCTGGCAGGCAACTCCTTGTATTTTGTATTAGACTTCAAAATCTTTTCTTCTTCTTCTTCTTCTTTTTTTTTTTTTAAATCCAGGAGAATGCTTTATTGCAACTTTTAGCTGACTAGATGCTTAACTTAGTAACAAGTTTAGCCCTTGTAACTGGCTAGCTAAAAGCAAATCGGCTTGTTTCTCAGATCTTTGGGGGATAGCAAGAAACATTTGAGTGAATGTTGTTGAAGATTTTCAGTAGTATAGAAAATGATGGCGCTCTTGTGATATTTGTAAGTAGTAAGTAAAATTTACTTTTTGTGTACAAATCTTTGAAGTTTTTGTTGTGTTGAGAACTTTTCGATGGTAGCATGTTAATGCTGATAGTATTGTCTTCGTTTTTTTTTCTTTTCTTACAGCAAGCAAGGATTTGGCACAGACATCCTATTTCATGGCTACCAACAGGTTGTTATCCTGACCCTCTTTGTTGCACTGTTGTAGCACACTATAGCTTCCTTTAATGCAGGGCCCCCTCAATGTGTCTCTTACCCTTGTTGCAGCAGGAGACTGGACCATCTACTGTGGTGGTACCTTCCTGTCTGCTTTGCGGTGTATTGTACAAGGGACTTTTGGCACAGAGGGGTTAAATGCACAATGTGAAGTGTAGTGGTGCTTTCTGATGACATATTCTCGATTTGTGAGTGCATAAGTCTAAAATTGGTAGCCTGAATAGCAGCTAAAGATTACAAAGAGCTAAACTTAACGTAGAAATTCGAGCAACTTGGTAAGTATAAAGCTATTTCTAGTTTACAATTATAGTTAAATGACAATTTTTAAAAATTTCACATTGATCCAATCTTAACTTTAAAATAATCATTAAAGCTTTTTTAATAAATAAAATTTATATAACTTGGTTTTTTTTTTCCAGATAATACCCACCAGTAGTAGATTAGTAGTAGTCACATCCTATCAGTGCCTTGATTTGCATAAGTATAATTTTTACTTTAAAAAAAAAAACTTACTCTTCAGTTCATATAAAGAATGGTATGGGTTTGTGCTTGATCAGTAGACATTTTCATCAATTCTGAAACTGAACTGGAAGAATAGTTTTTGAAAGTCTTTCACATCTAATATATTAATTTTGTTCTAGATTGATTATATTAATGATGTAAATTTGTTTTTAAAGTGAGTCATTAGGGAGGAGTGGACCAAACCATCTTTATGTGGTCCTTAATTTCTTGTGACACTGTTAAGTTTTGTTTAAAACTTTGGATTGGCAAAAGCCAATATATTTTCTTAGGTATATGTTGTTGGGATTTAACCTCTATCCCTAGAAATTCTGAACAACAAGGCCAAAAAAATCACTTAAATTTAAAACTTTGGTTAGAAGAGGCTAGCTGTGACATGCTACATGCCCAGTCTTTGGCATGTCATGGAAGGAGAGAGGTAGTATTTTTGTAGTATTTAACAACATTGGGCCTTCAAGCTGTTCAGCAAAAGGTAAGTTTCCTCTGTGGCTTTGCCGAGAAGAAGTTAGTTTTACCTAGATGGGTTTTAAATTGTCTGAGTTACTTAAGAATTAATGTTTGTTAAGCCACATCAAATGGTAATCCCTGATTATGATGTGTTATTGAAATTACCTTGTCAGTTTTATAGTCTTCTGCTTTTTCTTTAGTTTTTTGCCATGACATTACAAAAGAAACAAAAATACCACCAAAGAAAGCTTAAAGCGTTTTACTTGTATGTAGTAATTAGCTGAAATATACTGTCTTCCTCTCCTTTTATAGAGAGGTAAAAATACTTTTAATTTAGATGTAAAAAAAATTAGAAATATTAATATATTAGTAGTATTAATAATATACTCTAGGAAGTAAGAGTGTGAAAATGTTCATAATCTATATAGGTTTTTTAGTGTTCAAATTTTTATGACCATAGTCATAAAAAGTGTTATAATGTTAACTTTTAATTTAATAAAATAAGGTTTTATACTCTAGACTTGAAAAAGAAAACCTTTATAATTTTATTTTTGCTCTAATCTTATTGGTAAATGTTTTTCTTTGTTTTACATATTTGAATTTCTATGACTCTTCGTTCCAAACCTGCTCCACAACAGTCTGCATCTTACAACCTTCTGTCTTCAGTATAAACCAACAGTGATAGCATGTGTATGCATTCATTTGGCTTGCAAATGGTCCAATTGGGAGATTCCCGTGTCAACTGATGGAAAACATTGGTGGGAATATGTGGATCCTACAGTTACTCTGGAATTACTAGATGGTAAGTAGAGAAAATAAATCTTTTTGTTACATTTAAATTTTTTCTTTTTATTATGGATTAAAACTTCTATCTACTTTTGTATAGGTTTGAAAAAATACTCAGTCCCCATATACTCATGCTCAGTTGAAGTTATCAGTTCTGGCCAATCCAACATCCTCCTTCCCCCATAGTTATTTTGATGCCAATCCCAGACATCATTTCATCTATTAATATTTCATCTATTTTGAAAAGATAAAGACTCTTTAAAAACATAATTCCATTTTAACAATTTGGCAGTAGAATTTAAAAGTATAGTTACATGATCAGGGCTTCCCTGGTGGCGCAGTGGTTAAGAACCCACCTGCCAGTGCAAGGGACACATGTTCGAGCCCTGGTCCGGGAAGATCCCACATGATGCGGAGCAACTAAGCCCGTGCGCCACAACTGCTGAACCTGTGTTCTAGAGCCCATGAGCCACAACTACTGAAGCCCGCATGCCTAGAGCCCGTGCTCCGCAACAAGAGAAGCCACTTCAATGAGAAGCCCACTCTCCGCAACGAAGAGTAGCCCCTGCTTGCCGTAACTAGAGAAAGCCCACGTGCAGCAACGAAGACCCAACACAGCCAAAAATAAACAAATAAATAAATAAATTTATTTTTTTTAAAAAAGTATAGTAACATGATCAGATGAACAGGATGAAAATAAGGATTCATTAGCCTAAAGGGGGAAAAATGAGCATATATTAACCAGCACTCAATATCTAAAGCCTTTTCAGGACTTTTCAAAGAAATATGATTTATAATGCTACAGGTTGATAATACAGGAATACCTAATTTAAAGTACACTAATTTTGGGCTTCCCTGGTGGCACAGTGGTTGAGAATCCGCCTTCCAGTGCAGGGGACACGGGTTCAATCCCTGGTCCGGGAATATCCCACATGCAGCTGAGCAACTAAGCCCATGTGCCACAACTACTGAGCCTGTGTGCCACAACTACTGAGCCTGTGTGCCGCAACTACTGAAGTCCACGCTTCTAGAGCCCCTGCCCCGCAACAAGAGAAGCCACCGCAATGAGAAGCCCGCACACCGCAACAAAGAGTAGCCCCCACTCGCTGCAACTAGAGAAAGCCGCCCGTGCGCAGCAACGAAGACCCGACGCAGCCAAAAAATAAATAAAATAAATAGATTTTTAAAAATAAACTAATTTTGTTGAGTTTAAAATGTATAAGCACAAAGTCAGGTATTAACTTACTGTAGAAGATGTGAAGCAGTGAGCTAAAGGTATTTTCATGGTAATATTCCTTGCTCTGTTCCACTGATGGTAAAGTATGTCATTGTTGTCTTGCATTAATAAGTATGAATTCACAAGGAAAGATTGGGAGTATAAGTTCTGTACATCATGGACCTGGAATTTGGAGGTCTCCTGATAGGACGTTTTTCTGGTAGAGAAATAAGCAGGCCAGAGGCAGGGGATTCCTGGGGATTGAGACTTTAACCAGGCACTCTAGATTTCAGAAAGGAAATAGATAACATTTCTTACCTAATATATGCATAAATCTAAACTGGTATGTTAGTTTTTCTGCTTTTTGTGGGCTTTCCCTAATTTCCTTTACAAAATTGAAGCTAATTTGAAAACTGGATTTACATGACTTCCGTTATATAAAGTGAGAGACCCCTATGGCTTTGGAATGTGGTTTTCTATTAATATCTTAGATGCTTTAAGACAGAAATTTCATTAAGGGTCTGCTCCCTTTTCTGTGAAGGGCCAGATAGTAACTGTTTTAGGGTTTGTGGGCTATACTATCTATGCACCTAGACAACTCTGCCACCGTAACTGGAAAGCAGCCATAGGCAACCTGTAAAATGAGTGGCTGTGTTCCAGTAAAACTTTATTTACAGAAACAGGATGCAGGTCATATTTGGCCCACTGGTGATAGTTTGTCTACCCTTGTGGTAAAATATGCTCTTTGTTAGGTCTCTTGATTTTGTTTTGGTATTTCTTTTTCCTCCCTGAAAAATTTCTCCTGGATTATATACCTCATGCTGTATTACTGCCGCATGATTATCCTCTTTTCCTTACATTGCCAGAGGTTTTTCTAAAGGTTATTCAGAGTGGTAGGAAATCTTCAGTGAGTTGAAATAACATCTTCTAAAAACTAGTGGCGGGGGGGGGTGCTTCCCTGGAGTCCAGTGGTTAGGGCTCCACGCTTCCATCGCAGGGGATGCAGGTTCGATCCCTGGTCGGGGAAGTTCTGCATGCTGCGAGATGTGGGCAAAAAAAAAAAAAACATTGTAAAGCAACTATACTCCAGTAAAAAAATTTTTTAATAATAATAAAAAATAAAAAACTAGGGGCTTTCCTGGTGGTGCAGTGGTTGGGAGTCCGCCTGCCAATGCGGGGGGCGCGGGTTCGTGCCCCAGTCCGGGAGGATCCTGTGTGCCGCAGAGCGGCTGGGCCCGTGGGCCATGGCCGCTGGGCCTGCGCGTCGCTCCATGGCGGGAGAGGCCACAGCGGTGAGAGGCCTGCGTACCGCAAAAAAATAAAAAACTAGTGGGGGCTTTTTTTTTTTTCCATCTGTGACTTGAAATTAGGTTACCTATGCCACCGTCTTATTTTAGCAGTCAATAGATAAAAATAAAATAGGCATAAACTTAATAAAAACAGTTTGTATATATGGTGCTAAAATAAAGCTCACAGAAAGCGAGTAATCTGCCTTTTATCCTGCTCTTAAATTGCATCAATAGGTAAAGTCTTTTTTTGACACAACAGGAGGCACCTAAATATCCCTTTGCTTCTATTCTGAAAAGGCTCAAGTACATTATTCATTTGGAGAACCACTGAATAGGAATCTTGGACACTTAACACATTGAAAATTTCAATGTATTATGTGGCAGCCTTTTCTCACATTTTTATGGGATCACATTGTGATCCCGTAAAAATAAAGTAACAAAGTATAAGATACTAAGAGTATCTGAATTTTATCGTGGTGTCTGAAGCCTCAGTGTTTACTAAAATAATTCATTTAATGACTGTCCCCAAAACAACGTTGGCTTGTATTTGGCCTACCTGTAACAGGGTTTGGGGGAGGGGGGGGGGCTTGGTTGTTTTGGGTTTTTTTAATGATTAATAACAAACCTTCATGTGTTTTTTATAACTTGAATTTTTTCTGAAATTGAGTCAAAACAGTTTATTGTTAATTTTGGACCCAAAGGCATGTGTCTGCTAGACTTACTGCTGTGTCCAAGTAGAAAAGTGGTCTTTTTTTTTTTTCCAGATGAAGAAATGGTAGTACAGACATTAGATTGTTTTCATCCAGACTGAATCGAAAAGCTCCTGAGTCTTTAGCAGGAATTAGTTGTCACAGCTTGTGAGCATATAATGGTGCCGAGTTTTTGCATGAATCTAGTCTCTATTAAATTGGCATTAATAATATTACGTGACATTGTAATTCATTTGACTAATATTATTTATCTTGAGAGTGGCCAATAACTTTATTAATGACACTATTTTGGAGTCAAAAACTATAATTCATCATAACCACACCACTTTGGAAAAGTGGGTCATCTCATTGTAATCATAAATTTTAGGAAAAAAAATTGTAAAAATATAACCAGGTTGATTTACTGATAATGTTACTAGTGTTGATTGCTAGGAAGTTATGAGTATAGGTAAAGGAATTTTTTTCATTTAACTTTGAAATGATTTTAAATCTAAAGAAATTGTGAAATAGTACAGATTCTGTACTATTATACTTTGTACCCAGTTTCTCTAATGTTAACATCTTCTGTAATAATAACATGATTATCAAAACGAAGAAGTTAACATTGGTATAATACTATTAACTACAGATTTTACTCAAATTTCCCCCATTTTTCTATTCTAGAATCCCATGTTCCATTTAGTTGGCATGCCCCTTTAATCTCTCCTAGTCTGTGATAATTTTTCAATCTTTCCTTTTCTTTCATGTCCTTGACACTTTGAAGAAGAATGGTCAGTTACTTTATAAAATGTTCCTCAATTGGAGTTTTGTCTGATGTTTTCCCATTATTAGAGTGAAGTTATGCGTTTTTGGCAAGAATACCACAGAAGTGGGTTTTATCCTACTGTGCATTTTATCATGGGGTATCATGTTGATATGTCATATTGCTGGTAATGATAATCATGATCACTTGGTTAAGGTCATAAAGTTACTGATTTTCTGTTTATAATTAATATCTTGAGGACGGTATGTTGGGATTACACAAATATTCTCTTTTTCCTTAAACTTTTGCCCACTGATGGATCTTGCCCATCCCAATTATTACTATGATGTTTGCGTAATAGAGATTTTCTATTTGGAAGGAATTTTTTAAATGTGACTAAATTTTCCAGAGAGTCTAAGTAAGCATGTAAAATCAGGGGGGTGTGGGAGGAGTGTTTTGTTTTATTTATTTAAAACAAATTTTTTTAAGATTCATCTTTGAAAATACCAGTTCAGAGCTGTGTCTACTCTTGTATGTGCTGATGGTTGAATTAGGAGGGTGATAGTGAAGTAGATGAACTCTTGCGCTTTCTTTCTAATATGGCCCACTTGAGAGAATTCTAAATCTAAAGGCACCTTCTAAGTTTTAAATTTGAATTTTATCTTTAGAGCTAACACATGAGTTTCTACAAATATTGGAGAAAACGCCTAGTAGGTTGAAGAGGATTCGAAACTGGAGGGTAAGAGAATTGGCGGGTTTTTAGAACATCAATTTGTTAACTACATAGCTAATCAGTTTGAATTTTTGTGGTTAAATATTCTTATTTCCAGTATTCGTAAGTAATTACACTGTTTCGTAAGCTACATACACTCATAATTTATTCAACTACGGTGTCCAGTAGACTTTGCTATAAATACTTTATAAATTCCTTATTTAATTCTCATAGTGATTACCGTGGAAATAGTCTCCTCACTTTACAAACAGGAAAATTAAAGCTTAGACGAGTTAAATTCCTTTCTGAAATGCTGGGCTAGGATTTAGTCTGCATCTAATTTAAAACCAGTGCTTTCAACTATTTATATCCTTTTTATGCCTCTAAATAAGATATTTATTTACTGGCAACATAAAGTGAAACCCCAGGTGATTTTATTTCCATGTATTTAATATAGAATTTTTATAAGCAAAGAAATTTGTATTGAATTCCTTTGCTGTCATTGCTTCTTCTGTGTTTTATTTAAATAGGCTAATCAGGCGGCTAAGAAACCAAAAGTAGATGGACAAGTATCAGAAACACCACTTCTTGGTTCATCTTTGGTCCAGAATTCCATTTTAGTAGATAGTGTTACTGGTGTGCCTACCAACCCAAGTTTTCAGAAACCATCTACATCAACATTCCCTGCACCAGTACCTCTAAATTCAGGAAATATTTCTGTTCAAGACAGCCATGCATCTGATAATTTGTCAGTGCTAGCAACAGGAATGCCAAGTACCTCATATGGTTTGTCATCACACCAAGAATGGCCTCAACATCAAGAGTCGGCAAGGACAGAACAGATATATTCACAGAAACAGGAGACATCTTTGTCTGGCAGCCAGTACAGCATCAACTTCCAGCAGGGACCTTCTGTATCACTGCATTCAGGACTACATCACAGACCTGACAAAATTTCTGACCATTCTTCTATTAAGCAAGATTATACTCATAAAGCAGGAAGCAGTAAACACCATGGGCCAAGTTCTGCTACTCCTGGAGTAATTCCTCAGAAAATGTCTTTAGATAAATACAGAGAAAAACGTAAGCTAGAAACCCTTGATCTGGATGCAAGGGATCATTATATAGCTGCCCAGGTAGAACAGCAACACAAACATGTACAGTCCCAGGCAGCCAGCAGCAGTTCTGTAACCTCTCCCATTAAAATGAAAATTCCCATTACAAATGCTGAAAAACCTGAAAAATATATGGCAGATAAGAAGGAAAAGAGTGGATCGCTGAAATTACGTATTCCAATACCACCCACTGATAAAAGTGTCAGTAAAGAAGAACTGAAAATGAAGATAAAAGTTTCTTCCTCAGAAAGACACAGCTCTTCTGATGAAGGCAGTGGGAAGAGCAAGCATTCCAGCCCGCATATTAGCAGGGACCATAAGGAGAAGCACAAGGAGCATCCTTCCAACCGCCACCACCCCAGCAGTCACAAGTATTCCCACTCATACAGTGGCAGCAGCAGTGGTGGCAGCAAGCACAGTGCTGATGGGATACCACCCGCTGTTCTGAGGAGTCCTGTTGGCCTGAGCAGTGATGGCATTTCCTCTAGTTCCAGCTCTTCAAGGAAGAAGCTGCATATCAATGATGCATCTCACAACCATCACTCCAAAATGAGCAAAAGTTCCAAAAGTTCAGGTAGTTCATCTAGTTCTTCCTCCTCTGTTAAGCAGTATGTATCCTCTCACAACTCTGTTTTTAACCATCCCTTACCCCCTCCTCCCCCTGTCACATACCAGGTGGGCTACGGACATCTCAGCACCCTCGTGAAACTGGACAAGAAGCCAGTGGAGACCAACGGTCCTGATGTCAATCACGAGTACAGTACAAACAGCCAGCATATGGACTACAAAGACACATTCGACATGCTGGACTCGCTGTTAAGTGCCCAAGGAATGAACATGTAATCATTTGTTTAGGTCAATTTTTCCTTTACTTTTTTAATTTAAAAATTGTTAGAATGGAAAACTTCCTTCTGATCTAGCAGTGGTAACACCTGCTGTTACTGCCACTGCTTCAATATTTGTAAGTGCTGCTTTATTCTTCATTCTGAAAAGAAGAGATTATAGTAAACAAGTCTTTATCTCCACATATGATAGTGTTATAAATACTGTAAAAGCATGGAAGGTGCAAAACTCAGTATTTCTACAATTGCAGCTAAGGACATTAGGGTGAATGGCTGGCTGCTTCTAGGAATATAAGATGCCTCAAGCATTCGTTTATTTATAATTTGAATACTGTAGCTATTTTTTGTTGTTGCTTGGCTTTTGAATGAGTGTAAATTGTTTTCTTTTGTGTATTTATACTCGTATGTATGATTTGCATGTTTCAATGATAAAGGGATAAAACAGTATACTGACAACTGTTTACAAGAAAGTGGAGAAAAATGTACATACATTTTTGTATGTTTAGATATTACCATAAATACTCAGGATTGGAGCTGCTTGTAAGTATAACAATATACAGAATAACTTTATTTTATCTTGTCAGAGTCCATCACTAATCTAAAAGAAAGGTGGCACTTTTTCATGTTAACCTTAAACTCTAGGCCTTACTGGAAGCCACTGAAGGGGGACACTTCACTACCAGATGGGTATGCAGTGCCACAGATGGTCATTTACACTGTGAGGCACTGATTCTGCCTTCAGAGGTTCTGACCAGATTGGCTGCTGAAATAGCCCCTAACTTTCTGAAGGCTTGAAGAGGAAAAAATAAAGTTTACATACTCTTGATGTGAAGTGCATTTAAGTGTTTGTTGGCTTGTTGCAGTACTATAAACACAGAGCTGTTAATAATGGTTATGTAGATTACTGTGATTTGAAAACTAAATTCACAAAAACTTACAATAGTGAAGAATTAGTAAGTCTTTTTCTTAAATAGAGAACTTTAACACTACGTATTTTAACAGTAAACAGGAATCGCTTTTCCTTTAGTGTTCAGAAGGACACCATGTTCTTAAACATACTCCTCCCCTGAAGCGTGTTTGTGTGTGATGCCATATTTCTTTTTCAGGTAAATGCAGTCTTCCTTATAAAAATGAAATTAAACTTATTGCTCTTTCAGTTATTTTATATTCTAACAATAAATAAAACAAAAAGATCACTGACTGTGCATTCTACCTGTATTTATAGCTTATGGTTGTTAACAGGAAGCTCACTGAGAAAAAAAAAAAGGTAAGCCTCCAGGTAAACAGCTAGTGCAGGTTTTATATTTGTTTGCACATCTCAGTATATTCCTGTTGAAGTCAAGTTTGCACAGTCTTCTGACTTCGGAACAAACAATAGACTTTAACTTGTTTAAAATTTGTCTTAAATGCCAGTAACATGGCTCTGGTTTATCAGCTAATCTTCAATTCTGTGGTAAATCTTTGGGCTGTTGAGTATCTTTGAGATAGGTTGAATTCAACTTCTGTTGAATTGAAAACTGTCTTAATTTTTCCTCTATGTATATGAATTATTTTTGTTACAAAGCCACTGACATGTGCACAATTGTAATTTTACTCAAGTATGTTGCAGTTGTAAATATTAGAGAGTTTAATCTCGTGCTCTACTCTTATTTAGCAATTACCTGATTTGCCAGTAGCTTTATAATTTTTTTTTTTAAGATAATTGTTCATTATTTTGTCAATGTTATTTGAACTTAGGATACTAGGATCCTCTTTCTAGGGACTTTGCCTAGCTAGCATGTCCTAACTTTGTTCTTGTCTGGCATAACTTTAGTAATCTTTGTCATTACATGTAACTTTGTTACTCTGTATGACATATTATTGTATCCATAAACATGGTAATTTTGATACAGTTATACCTTTACAGTGGTACATAATCCAAGGACTAGTATAGAATTAAGATGAGTGCAAGATGAGGGAGGGAAGGGTTTTGTTCTTGGTAATTTAGATGTGAAACCTCTAAGGAGCTATCATGTGAAACGGCGTAGGGTGATTGTGCTACTGTATAATTGGGGTGATAATACCAGGAATTTTAATAAGATTTTGTAAAGAATATCCAGAAAAGTAGTGAACTTATTTTCAGTATGACATAGAAAACAATGTGAATATTTAAGGTCTGTGACTATACTTCACTAAGAATTTGCAGAATTGTTTTGAGATGTGAGAATAAAGGTAATTTTGTTGAATCTTTATTGGTGCTAATGATGGACAGTTAAAAAGGTAGCTAGTGTATATTGTTATGGGTCAGTACTTATTAGTACTTCCAAAATTGAATTTGAAATGCTATGTATTCACTTTTCACTCTGTAAATGTAATTCTTTACAATGACTTTATTTATTAAAGGGCAGCCAGTTGTAATTTTTACAGGATTGTGTGAGCTATTCAAACTCTTCAACCTCTGAACAGGATATTAGCTTCCGTAAACCACAATGGGGATAAAATATGGAATTTCTTTTAAGTTTCGTTTCCATTAAATGAGAACCCTTATAATTCATATTGCCATGAATTTAACCATCTCATTTGCATAAAGTAGTTCATCAGCCTGGTCCCAATAGGCTCAACCAAAGAAAAAGACTCCAATGAATGGACATTATTACTGAGTCTTCTTGTAAGTAGCCATAAATAAACCAAAATAGTATCAAATTTAGGTACGAAATTCCACATGTGCAAAGTACTGTTAAGGTGATACATTTTTGATGAGATTTTTAAAAATATTTGAACTATTAAAAAGCATTATCTTTAAACATCCTATAAAAGAGTGATTCATTTTTTAGTTGTGTTTTCCCTAGATCAAAGATCATAGATTTGTTACCTTTATGCAGAAGCACATTACATAGAAAGGCTTTACTTCTACCTCTTTCAACTAATTTTTCAATATTGAGCTGTGCCCCCTAAATATTTGCCTTAGCTATTTTAAAATACAATATTTTCAGAACCAAAGCAAAGGAGTGGTTTTTTTCACAGAAACATTCTCAGAGGCTTACTTTACCAAATAAACTGATGGCAGCATCCTTGAGTGGTGAGACCTTGCATAATTCCTAGTTCCTTTTTCTCGTTTAACCCTGAGGTTCATTTCTTGTTGCAGGTATTTAAATACTGAAAAGTTGTGTAGTCACCCCAAGGTTTATCTTTGAAAACAGTTACAAGTGCATCTTGATCTTCTCTGTGTATGCAGATTTGTTCTTGTTAGAGTTCTTAAGCGTCAAAAGAAAATTTCTGCCATGATACATGGTTTCATGCAGAAGGTCGTAAGGGGTGCATGCACTACTTTGTGCGAACAGATTATGATTATGTAGGATACATTATTTTTCTGGCCTATCCTCTTTGAACTAAAGAAATGACTAGTTTCAGATAGTTGAAAGGAAATGACTATTTCAGATAACCAAATTTGAAATATGTTTGTTAGTTACCAAATGTCTTGCCTTAAAACATTTTAAGCACATTTTCTGGTTATATTTGAGAATTTAAGTTACTGATTTTTATTCCTTAACTAATCTTAGAAATAAACCACTGCTTGCACATGCATGACTATTATGTACTCTCAAAGTACCCTTGGTTGATTAAATATTTTAGGTTTTGCGTTTACTATGAAAATAAGGATTTTTAAAAACATGGTAATATCTCTAAAGGGAGACAGTTCTACTGTCAAGATATTTCACCATTCCCAAATTTTATCCACACAGAAAAGCCATTGTTTCTCACTTACTACTGTGCTTAAATAGCTAGGTGATTTTTAAGATGTCTTTGCTAAGATAAATAAGAGCTTTGGTTATGGAGAATTCTTGATTCAGCAGTCTGCTTTCTTGGGATGCAGTAGGATTCATTAACCACATTTACCCAGATGAAGGATTAATAAACCCCACACATGAGGGAAGCTTGGTGACACATGCTAATCTCATGTACCAGTTTGTTTATGATAGGCTGATTTAGGGGTTTTTGCATTGGAAAAGTAGCACATTCTGTTCCTACCCTTCTAGGGTCCCAGGTTATGGTACTAATGTGTTAACTTGAGAATTCACAGCTATATTAACATCTGAAATTTGATTGCTGTAAGCGGACAGATGTAAGCCAAATAATCAGAAGTTTGCTTGTTTTGTAAGAGATGTTTGCCTCTGAAACATCTGTCATTACAGTAGAGATGATCTTGCCAGTGGATCTGGAATGCTCTGAGGGTTTTAGGTCTGATACTATGCATCCATTTTTTATTCCACAATGTTAATTTGGGCACAGCCAGCTTTTGCTTCTATGACTCCTCTGTTTCTGTTAACTTATTAGTATGTATTCTGCCTGAAGTTTCTTAAGGTAGCTAGATAAGCAAGATACATTGAAGGCTGTGTGGCTAGGAGTAATTCTGGTGTCGTAAAAGTGACTTAACCTGTTTGCTGTGATCCATTAATCTCAAAAGTAAATTCTGAGGGCTAATTTCCTTTGTCTCCAAGTTCTGGGAAGAAGCCTCACTTAAAACCTGTTTAGTGGTTGGTTTAACTTTATTTGTCTATTGTTAAGTAATGAGTACATTCTTTTTTTTTTTAAGTTGTGTTTTTCAAGCAGCTTCCTTACTTTGAAAAACTTCACACGTGCTCATTTGTTGTCAGCAAATTGGGATTTCATTTTGTGAATGTACTCAAAACCCCCAAGGTCTATTGAACAGGATGTTTGCTGATAGAAAATCTAAAACAGGAGTTTGTGTATATGGTATGAATTCAATTAGACATTGAATTTCAGCTCAGTATCTATTACAAGGAATAATTAATAAAGTTTGTTTATTGACTACATAAATCCAAGGCTCTAACATGTCTTGTTAATGTGAATCAGAAATAATTTTCAGTCCCTGGGAGATGTGGGAAATAAGGTCTCAAATATAAAAGTTACTCTTTGAGTGACTTCATATATTATCGAGGAGTATGACCACTGAGATCAGATTGTCCATACTCCATTCTCAACCCCATCACTTAGTAGCTGATGTCCTTGGGTAAATTACTTTGTGCCTTGATTTCCTAATCTACAAAATGTCAGTAATAGTACCTATTCATTGGGTTGTGAGGTTTAAGGCTTGGGTGATCAGGGAATAAATGGAATAGATGGCATTGAAAAGAATCCTAATAGAAGCATGTTTTGGGTATTGGGGAGAGTGGTGAAGGCCCAATCCAGGTGCAGTAGACTTGAGTGTGTATTAAACACTGCATGTGTACCGTTTCCAGAATTTAAGTTGTTCGTTCTGATTCATACTTTGGGATTTTCTTGTGTACCCTCTTGCATCACCTTCACAAAAAGCAGAGAGTAATTGTAATTATCTGCAAGGGGAATTATCCCTGAGAAATTTAATCATAAACTGCTTTAATATTGCTGCTCCTTCCAACCCCCTTCCCTCCCTCCCCGATTTTCCTACACCTCACACTTGAGAAAGGAAATGGAAGCCTTGCAATGGCTTTTCATAAAATAGAGCTAAGATAGACAAGTTACTTCCTCTAGCATGAATTTTAAGCCTAAATATAAAAGTTTTGAGATCACATTAAAAGATTTGTCTTCATTTTATGTTGATAACAGCAGTAAGGGCGTCTTCTTTTTTTCATATAATAAATTACATGAGCTTTATTTAGGAACATCACAAAGTTTGGTAATTCCCTTTAACCAAAGTTAGTAATCCCATTTACTAATTCACCATACTCCATTGTTTCACCACTCTTTCACCCCCTGCTGTTTTTAATATAATGGAAAAAATTATACGTTTTTGTTTTAGCCCTAGTATATGACCTGCCTGTTCCCTCCCCCCAACACCACCTCCCAAAGCAATATAGGGCTTCACTAAATGAGGGTTTTTAATCATATTGCCATGAAATTAACGGGCTATTGAGACTTTACAAATGTCCAGGCATATACCCAAGATCAGTTTTCTTTGGTCCTTCAAGTCATAATCCATAGGAGCAAGTGCTTTAGAGACAAATTCAGCCATGATTTTTCACAAGTTTGAGAAGTAATAACAGTGAGACAAAGTGCCACAGCTTTTCCTCAGGACTGTTTGCTATTTCAGCTTTTCACAGCACAGTGCTATACACAACAACTCTTCTTGTTAACGTTGTTCCATGAAGATGCAGACTGCCTACAGCCAGTACTTTCAAGTCAAAAGCTGTTTTTAAATGCAAGTTGCTTTATTATATAGCTGCCTTAAACTGAATACTTGCAGGTACAGCAAGTATGAGGAATAAAGATGGCCTGGTACGTGATGGAGGCTTTTGATGCTCATTGAGCAGATTAAGTGAGTTTCTATCTTGGAGCAACTCAGTACACTAAAGGCCCAGGACTGCTGTTGTCAAGCAGGAGACAGTGGGTAAAGCAAGTAAGTGGAATCCTATGCACTCCCCAACCCCGTAATCCAGAGCTCGCTCTTTTCCACAACGGCAACTCTCATTCAGACACTGAGGAACGTCCAGTGGGCTAAAGTAGGTTAAAGTTAAGGAGATGCTCTAGAGCTGGAACTACTGTCAGGATTTTACTTGGGGATAAATTTACTTTGGTTGAGCTTGAGACCCATTCAGTATGAAATGAAATGCGCTTCTGAATGTGATTGAAAACTGGGGTGGTGTTCATGGTGAGAAGGGAAGATAGTCATAGAAGGGAAGGCAATGTTGCTGCTAAGTGAAAAAGGAAAAGCTTTTGACAACGTTAAAGTAATCAAGGTCACTGGACTGGTGAATTTGTTTATCAGCATCTATGGAGTTTTGTTTGCGTAAAACTTAAAACTGTAACTGATTTCATTTATAAACTACAAATCTGGGAAGCAGCAGGGAGAAGGCTCTAAAGTCAGACAAATCTGGGTGGCAGTCCCAACTTGACCTTGAGAAAGTTAAGTACCTCTGAGCCTCATCGTGCATTAATAAAATGAGACTACTACCGACCCAAGCAACAGCCAGAATTAAATAATAGGCCTTTCTCCATTAAGAGCTCAAGGAATGCTAGCCCTCCCAGCCCATACCTTTCTTCCCTCTCAGTCTCCTTTTAGGACCTCTGCCTCCTAAAGGAAGATACCTGGGCAATGATAGACACAGTGAATGACAGAACAACAGAAAGCTGTTAATATCAAGGCTTGCCTATTAAAAACATACAGGTTTTGAAGGTTCTGTGAAATTAGTGTTCAGTATTTTTCTATATCAGTAGAAGAGGGGTAGGTTTGTTAACAGCAACTTCCTGTGTCCATTACTGTGATCTGTATACACAGTATAAATATGTCTTAGTCCATGCCCTTGCCTCATAGGGTTTAATAGGGTTGAATGTAAATAGGTAATTGCTCCGAAATCAGATACAATCATTCAGATTTTAAAGAATGCTGAAATCCCTACTAAGATTAAAAAACTAAACCCTACTTAAAATGGTGTTATGTTGATATACAAGTAAGTAAAATAAGGGACATATCCCTTAAATTTTTATCAAATATAAGGGAAGAACTCTGCAAACTGGAGAGAGAGAAGGAAGGTACACCCGCAAAGACCCTTCTAAACATGTTGGCCAAAGTAAAAGCTTTTATCTCAGCTGGACTGCATTTCACATTTATTTCAAAAACTTCTGAAGTAGCAGCTTGATTTTGACAAAGTCTGACAGACAACTGGTGTTGGAATTCACCTAAAGTTAGTTTGTAGTTGTGCCATCTTCAAATGACAGTAGCTAATAAAAAAAAAATCTGTAGACCTAGCTTAAGACAACAGGTGTCAGTGAAATTTAGTAGATGAATGGAGTCACAGCAACCAAAACCTTACCAAAAATACTCAGTCCACCAACTTAAGATCTTGTAATAACTCTGACAACTTGTCCCTGTTCATTTTTGCAAGGTTTTCCAATGTTCTGGGAATGAAAGTGAAGAGTGACCTTAGCAGGGGTGTCCTTCCTTCGGGTGAAGTGAGCAAAAGTGCCCTGGAAAAGTTTATGTGCTCACCCAGTCTCCGCTTAACAGATCAGTGAGCTTTTATCCCACCAGCTGGCTTAGGTTTAGCTGGTTCTCGATGCAGTAATTTTCTAATTCACGCTGTAAATACATGAAGACCTCAAAACACAACCAGTCACAGAGGAGGCAGACTGAGGTTTATGGAAACACCTTGAAGAGCCCAATTTCTTGTAGGTGGAGACTTCTGAGGAGTTAGGGGACCCTCTGGTAATGAAACGCAAGGCCCTTAGCTCTTCCTGTTAATTTTGAGGCCCCTATAGTCTGCAGCGTTAAGGTTGCTGCCTAAGTAAACTGAATCTAGCGTCTTTCTACTCCTTTTACCTTCTCACCTTCCTCTACTCTCCTTTGTAAGAATTAAATAAGTGTCTACCCATCAAGCAAGAAAATACATTTTATTCTTGTTTCTACAATTTAATGACATTAAAATTGACAGGCCAAAAATAAAAGGAAATATCGTATAAAGCAAGAGAGATTGTAGTTACAGGATAATCAAAACTATAAACACTGGAATAGGTTTTCTGTTGTTAACTCTTTAAGACAATTTTCTTATGTATATGGGTAATTGTGCCTGAAGCTTGAGAAGGCTAACCTGTAACAAACTTTTCAGTTAGTGCCACTGCAGGATCTGGTTAAATTGGGTTAGATTGACTTTCCAGTAGGAAAACAAGGGTCCCTTAGCCATCATTTCCGCAATGAAGCAGTAACGGAGTAATTTATAGTGGAGCTGGGAAGGAAGTCCTGATGTATGTTCAATGACTTCTCTTCAAGAAGGAGTGCTTCAGGAGCTGGACAGCAGAAGGTCACTCATGCTGGTCCCTAAGAAGGGGAAAAAACACATTAGAGTAAACAGCACCCAGTATCGTGCCTGCCAACTAGATTCAGTTGACTCAAAATGCCAACTTTAACAATGGAAGTACAGCCTCTGCCAGTCAAACAGATTTGGATTGAGTCCAGACTCCAGATTTTAACTGTGTGATCTTAGGTGAGGGACTCCAACTCTTTCCTCATCAGTAAAATGGGGATAACAATAACACCTAACTCACTGGGAGAGTGTGTTTTTAAATTTTTATTGCAGTATAGTTGATTTACAATGCTGTGTTAGTTTCTGCTGTACAGCAAAGTGAATCAATTATATTCGTATATCCACTCTTTTTAAAATTCTTTTCCCATGTGGGTCATTACAGAGTATTGAGAAGAGTTCCCTGTACTATACATGAGGTCCTTATTAGTTATCTATTTTATATATAGTAGTGTGTATATGTCGATCCCAATTCATTGAGAGAATTTTGTTTAATAATGAATTTAAACATAATTTTTTTTTTTTTTTTTGGCTGTACCGGGTCTTAGTTGCGGCACGAGGGATCTTTTTAGTTGCAGCATGTGGGATCTAGTTCCCTGACCAGGGATCGAACCCGGGCCCCCTGTATTGGGAGCAGGGAGTCTTAGCCACTGGACCACCAGGGAAGTCCCCATTGGGAGAATGTTTAAAAATGCATATACAACTTTGAAACAGTGTCACATACTAATAATTCAAAAATTAGTACCTATTATGATTCAAAACCAGTCCCTCCTTTTCCATTGTACTTTCTATCAATTTGTTTGGGGTATAATCTATACACAGTAAAATTCACGCTTTTAGATGTACAGTTTAATGCACTTTTAGTTAGCATGAAATTTATTTTTTAAATTGAGATATCCAGGATTGAAAAACCTTTAAGAGGTAGACATTTAAATATGTTTTGCTGATTAATTTGAATAATTCCATTTGGGGCACTGTTGGATGAGCATAAAGGGAGGCAGTTACTTAATTAGTACTATTATGGCTTAGGTTTATTCCCCCTCAAGAAATCAAAAAGCTTTTGCCAATGAACTAGTCAATGAACTAATGAACCAGTCACTGGTTATTCCAAAGGCATTCTTTTCGTTAAACTGGCTATCTTGATCATTTTGGAAGCAGATGACCAGGTAAAAATGGAAATAAAAATAAAATACGTTAAAAAGCAAGTGACCGGGCTTCCCTGGTGGCGCAGTGGTTGAGAGTCTGCCTGCCGATGCAGGGGACATGGGTTCATGCCCCGGTCCGGGAAGATCCCACATGCCGCGGAGTGGCTGGGCCCGTGAGCCATGGCCGCTGAGCCTGTGCGTCCGGAGCCTGTGCTCCGCAACGGGAGAGGCCACAACAGTGAGAGGCCCGCGTACCGCAAAAAAAAAAAAAAAAAAAAAAAAAAAAAGCAAGTGACCAAAAATCATTCTAAAATAAAAAACCTCTCCCCTTCTGGAGGCTCTTTCTCCTGCCTTCAAAATATGCAGAAATCTCGTTTCTTTTCAAAAAAATCCTTAAATGACTACCATTTCTAGCTGCCATCCTGTTTCTTCTATTCCTGCCAAATTTCTCTAAGTTGGTCAAACCTGAAGATTTCTTTTTCAACATTCACTAACCTAAATCCTTACCATTTGGCCTACTCTTCTCTATAGAAATTGCTCTTTTAAAACTAACCATGACCTTCTCCTTACCAAATTTAATGAGCTCACCCTCCTTGTCATCTCTGTAGCATTTGAAGTATTTCACTACCCCCTTTTCTCTGAAACAGTCTCTACTTAAGAGAAACTGTCCTCTTTGTTCTTCTCCCACACTGTGGCAACTCCCCTCCCCTTTTTTCCAGTTGTGTACTGGACTTAATTCTATGCATATTTTGTTATCTTCTCCCATGAGCACTTTCAAAAACATTTTCCTCAGCCCTCTAATTTTTTCATGATTATAGCTACCAACCTTATGATTTTCAAATATGCACTTCCAATGTTCACTGATTTCCTGAGCAACAATTCCACAGCTTCAAATGTTTCCTTCAACTTCCTCCACTGTTCCTCTTTCACAACTTTCTATTACTTCTTCCACTATCCACGTTCAAAACCATGAGATCCTATCATCCTCTATCACCAAGTCCTGATTCACCTTCCTCTGAAATACTGATATATATTTTTTTAATGTTTATTTATTTAGCCTGTGCCAGGTCTTAGTTGCAGCATGTGGACTCTTAGTTGCGGCATGCGTGTGGGATCTAGTTACCTGATGAGGGATCAAACCTGGGCCCCCTGCGTTGGGAGCATGGAGTCTTACCCACTGGACCACCAGGGAAGTCCCTGAAATACTGATATTTTGGAATCTTCTTTACACTCCCACTGCTTCCATCACCATCAAAACCCAAACTCTGGATTCCAGAATAGCCTCCATTCGAGGTCCCTCTACTGAATCTGCTGTCTGACCTGCCTCGCCAAAGACCTTTTTCTTCATGGCATTCTCTACCCCAAATCCTTTGCAGTCCTCTGGTCTTCACTGCCTATCTCAACAAAGTTAAACTCCTTGGCCTGACTTCCCAGAACTTCTGAGACCTGCCCATAGGAGTACCCCCAGCCATGCTTCTTACTGCTTCCCCAGATTGATTTCTGTTCAGTCCTTGTTCCTGATTTTTACCTAATCATCTCTACTTCTGAATCTTTAAGAGTGCCTTACCCCTTTATTTATGACTATCCACACCTCCAAGAAGTTATTGTCATAGACAACAGGCAAGATTCTAGAGTCCTTAGGGTCTCTGGCATAGAATTGCAGGCTTGCAATATGACACTCATTAGGTAAGGTGTATTAGTATTCTCCCAAAGGGTTGTTAACTGTTGAGCCCTAATTACATACCCCAAGCTGTGCTAAGCAATTTACATACACCATTTCTCTTACCCTTCACAACAACGCTGTTAATTGATTACTACTGGTGTGAGTTGTGTATTGCTTAGTTTATGAAGCAATGGTTCAAAAGGAGAGCCAGAAAAAAATATTCCACCCTTTCTCTCTAAAGCCGTGTGTGTGTGTGTGTGTGTGTGTGTGTGTGTGTGTGTGTGTGTGTAATGAGAACTAGAAAGAAAATGAGAATAGCAAGCACTTTCTGTGGATCAATAATAGATAATTGTTCAATTCAGAACAAAGCAACTGCAGTATGTTTAAGAGCTAAGACCAATCTCCAAGACTAGTACTGGTCTATATGATATTCCTAATACCTTTATGTCCCTTTTGTGAGGTGTTTATTTTTTTGGCGGGGGGGCTGGGGGGGCAGCTCTGTGCCTGGAGCTCTGTCCGCAAAATCCATGCTGGAACGCTTACGGCATCTCTACATGTAGGGGTGCCCAGAACTGCAACCCTGGAGTGTGCGTTGCTGCCCTGGCCTATGTGATCCCCTGAAATCAACCAGGACATGCTGATTGGTGTACACATGTGCTGGGAGAGGGAGACAGTCTAGAGCAGACACTCATCGGCAGACAGGGAGGCCTGTGGGTTCTGGAGGTTAACTGAGAAAGATAAAATGAACCCATTCAGGGAGCTGGAGGTTGCCATATATGTTTGCTGAAAGCTGGGGCACTAGAATTTTTCATCTAGCAATAAGAAAGCATACTTCCTTGAAAGGCAAGAAATTTTGTTTGTTTCAGGCCTTCCTCATTCTGCACATGCAACTGAATGTTGAGCCTCACTAGGTGGGTGGATTTTAGGCTGTTCTACATCATCGTAGAGGCCAGGTACGTAGGCTTGAGCACCCCTACCCTACTCTTTAGCTCTCCTCCACCGTACACATACATGCATATACATATACACACTTTAACCAGAGCCATCTCTCTGCCTTTATCGTTTATTCTTTGAATTAAGATTTCATATGAGCAGAGAGTGCCTGGATAAGAAAAGTTTGAAAACCACACAAATGAGTAATCTCTAAGCTCCCTACAGTTCTAACTTTTTTTTTTTTTTTTTTTTTTGCGGTACGCGGGCCTCTCACTGCCGTGGCCTCTCCCGCTGCGGAGCACAGGCTCCAGACATGCAGGCCCAGCGGCCATGGCTCACGGGCCTAGCCCCTCCGCGGCATGTGGGATCCTCCCGGACCGGGGCACGAAGCCGTGTCCCCTGCATCGGCAAGCCGACTCCCAACCACTGCGCCACCAGGGAAGCCCCAGTTCTAACATTTTACACAGAACTTTATTCCATAAGTACCAGGAAGCCTCAGGACAGGAGAAAACGGGCAACCTTCTGGGGCTTTTCTGCTTCCCCAAACACTACCCATTTGATGCTCGAAACACTCCAATTAGAGATTTGTTCCTTCGGCTCAAAATGCTTCCTCTCGCTTTAAATGCAAGTGTTTCTGGGGAAACAATACATTAACTCTGTCAATCATCAATCAATCAGTTCCTATCATTCCCTTGATACGAATGAATTTCTCATATACTCTCCTGAGAGCTGGTTTTAGGAAGGAATGAGAACACTGGTTCCCCGAGAGGGAAGGGAGGCTAAAGCATAGGTGATGTCATTTCACCATGGCTAGTCCCTGGGAAGATGTCTCATTGGTAAATAAGTAGATCCTTAGCAATTTTTGCACACCCATTGACTTGAGGAAGTATTGTCTGGACCTGATAAGACATTTCATTGAGGCACTTCCCACTTGAAGCATTACCCCCATACCCTGGTACAACAAGGAACACAATCACCCAATATGGCCAATCATGATTTTTTTCAGCACAAAATTACTCCCTGCTTGATTTCATAACCCAAGCTGAGCTTATAATGGTCCATAAATTGCAGGGGAAACGTCAGCTGCTTGGAATCTCTGGGGATTTATCCTCCTCCTGCTTTCAGTTTCTTACCCGGTGAGGCACACACGCACGAAGTCTGCTGCGTTTTCTGAGAAGTGTTCTGGTAAAGGAGGCATCAGCCCTCGGTGTGCGCCAATGTAAAACATGGCTGCCATCCTGTCCATGGAAGCTAGTGGGGGCTTCCCTGTGGCCATCTCAAACACAGTGCAGCCAATGCTCCAGACGTCTGACTTCCATCCATAGCCAGAGTCATTGATGACTTCCGGAGCCAACCAATACGGAGTCCCATGCATGGACTTCAGCATGTCACTGTGGGTACCATTTAAGCCAGCCCAGGTCAAACGCTTGACACAGCCAAAGTCAATCAGCTTTATTATTCCAGTTGGCATAAGCATAATATTATTTCCTTTGATATTTCGATGCACCACACAGTTCGCATGGAGATAAGCAACACCTTGCAGAATTTGTTTTGTATATTTACAGAACACCATCTCAGGCAATGGCCCAAAATGGTTTATAATACTAGAGATTGAGCCACCAGGAACAAACTCCATGAAAATGCTTACAATGTTCTCCTCGAAGCATGTCCCCAAATAGGCCACAGTGTTGACATGTTTCAGTGCTTTGAGCAAATCTACTTCTTCCTGCAGTTTCCTATATTCTTTTTCAGTAGTTAACTTATCAGAGGTATCCAAAGCCACCTGTTTTACAGCTATTAGCTGTCCTTGGCAAATAAGACCACAATATACCTAGAAGCAAACCAATGCCTTATTATTAAATGTAAATGATGACACTTGTTCACAAAATGCCTCCCGAACACTTGTCTTTCTCTTAGCTGATACATCCCTACCTAAATGCAAAGTACTTAAGCAAATTGAATGTTTCACTGGAGCCAAGATGGGGATAAATAAGTAGCATAGTGAATGTGTATCATAATGGCTTGGGTTCAGTCTTCTCTTTACCAATCTGTGTAAATACTATCTAAAGTGCTGGGAATTTAGATGATCTTTTATGCAATTCACAAAATGTAAGGAACATCTTTTGTTTTTGCCACTCAGCAATGATTCTTCCAACTTCTGGTAACATAACTTGAACCGTTGAACAAAGAGACTTCTTTCCCACAGGACTTGGACCTCAGAGAATTAGAGGCTTGAAATACAATGGCCATTGTACTACCCCGTGGAGCCTGAGAACCAGAGCCAGAAGGAGACACAGAGAGGCCAGATCCCCAAGGACATTGTTTGACCCCTGAAACCAGCTGTGCCCCGAGCCAGTCCTACTTCAAATCCTTCAGTTACATAAAGCTGTGGACATCCTTTTCCTCAAGCCACTTTAGGCTGGGTTTCCTATTACTTCCAACTGAAAGAGTTCTAAGTAAAAGAGTATACGGGGTGGGGAGGGCACTCAGGAAGATTAGGGAAGAGGGAGGAGTCGAGCAGGAGTGGAGACTTTTTATTTCAACATGTTTCGTGTTTCACTTACTGTGCCGTAGGCTCCCTTCCCAAGGGTCTCACCCTTGGTCCACAGGATAGGTTCTTCATACTTTAAACTGTTTTCAGAAAATGTCTTCTTTTCATGTGAGTTGAAAAATCTCTCCTCTTTGTCACATACCCCAAAGCCATTACTGTATCTCTGGAAGAATGAGACACAAAGAAAAGTCATCATTACATTCTGAGTCCTTGGGACGGAGAGAAAGGGTGGAGAGTAAGGTCTTCCTTTCTTCTAACTTAGGACCAACCAGAGAAGGCCAAGTATGCACCCCTAACCAATCACGTGGGAGGCCCCTTCTAGTTAGCTGACCTACAGCTTCCCCAGGACAAGAGCCTCCAATCAGGGCACACCTGAAGCCTTTTTTCCACTAAAAAGCTTTCCTACTCCTTGCCTGCTTTTGAGTCTCGGCCAAACACAAGTGATGGCGGTTGACTCCTTTGCTATAGTGAGCTCTGAATAAACAACCTTTGTTCTATTTCCACAACGTACTCATACACTCAAATATACACATAGGTAAGCACATATGCCTACACTTCCATACACATACACATTTACACACAAATATACATACAGATAGGTACTGTCTCTCTTACACATACACGCACATACATTCACCCATGCACAGCCATGCAAGCAAGTCTAATGGTCAAGACCAGCTGCAATGGACTAAACATCCATGGTCCTCTAGACCCTTGCTACTCAAAGGAGAACCTACAGACCAGCTGTTAGACTTTCAGAATCTCAGGCCTCAGACATACCAAATCAGTGTCTACATTTCAGCATGACCCTCAAGAGATGTGCATCCACAGTAGACTTTGAAAGGCCTTCCCCTGGAAGTCAGGAAACAAGTATATTTTTGTAGAGCTTAGACCATGTTTACCAATTGTTTGATTGGGACCAAAACTACTTTGTCTTGATCTCCTCTATGAGTTCTTAAAAATAAATGATGATGGTGATGTAGAGGCACGGTGACGGTCCTTAAGAATAAGACAGGGCTTCCCTGGTGGCGCAGTGGTTGAGGGTCCACCTGCCGATGCAGGGGACACGGGTTCGAGCCCTGGTCTGGGAAGATCCCACATGCCGCGGAGCAACTGGGCCCGTGAGCCACAACTACTGAGCCTGCGCATCTGGAACCTGTGCTCTGCAACAAGAGACGCCGTGACAGTGAGAGGCCCGCGCACCACGAAGAAGAGTGGGTCCCGCTCGCCGCAACTAGAGAAAGCCCATGTGCAGAAACGAAGACCCAACACAGCCAAATAACTAAATAAAATTTATTTAAAAAAAAAGAATAAGACATTGCACAGGATCTCCTTCCTCGGGAATGAGCACGGGTGCCTCCTGAGGGCCATTTGGGCTCCTCCTCCCCAGCCTCTCATGTTTCTGTCCAAACTGAAATTTAAGGATTGCTTAGAAATGAAAAAATCACAAAAAGTCAACTTTTGACTCTGTGATTGCAGGGTAGGGTTATGGGCTGATTGTATTTACTAGCTTGTTAGCTTTTCTTGAATGCGAAATGGCAGGCTGGTGGACCCATCTCAGACACACAGGCATGCACACATGTACCCCCAACACCCAGCCAAGCCTGGCAGCCTCTGTGAATCACTGCCCACGTCCCAGCCAAGACCAGGTTCACCATGAGGGTGAAGCTGGCCTTTTACAACCAGGAATATTTCCCACTGTGTAGTAATTAAGAGTGTGGGGCTGTCCCCACCACTTACGACCTGCGTGACTTTCTAAACCTCAGTTTCCTCACCTGCAAAATGGGGACTTGTTATTACCTTTAGTATTGATCTCATGGAGCTGTTATGAAGTATAGAAAGAAGACAGTATGATGTGTCTCACTCATATGTAGTAAGTTCTCAGTAAACTTAGCTATGGTATAATTATTTACCTTGTGTATTCTTCTGATCAATTAGCTAAAATAATGATTCCTGATCCTGAAAGAGTGTGATATCACCTGAGTTAGTGTACAGTAAATAATGTTTCAGCTAAACCTACTGTTTGTCTTTAAAATTTAGTAGAACAGGGGCTTCCTTGGTGGCGCAGTGGTTGAGAGTCCACCTGCCGATGCAGGGGACACGGGTTCATGCCCCGGTCTGGGAAGATCCCACATACTGCGGAGCGGCTGGGCCCGTGAGCCATGGCCACTGAGCCTGCGCGTCTGGAGCCTGTGCGCCGCAACAGTGAGAGGCCTGCGTACTGGAAAAAAAAAAAAAAATTTAGTAGAACAGGAGGCTCATATACTTCAGTGAGAACTAAAACAAATGTAACCTTACTACCTGCTGATATTCTTCTTACCGCCCCACTCCAGTGCCAAACAAATTTTTTCAAAATGTGTTCAGGATTGTTGTTTATGCTTCCCTGAGAGCAACGGCTAAGTCTTGTACCCGACCATGTCTTCAGTTCTTATCCCAATACCAAAAACACAGGAGGCATCAATAATATTTTTGTGTTAAAGTAAACCATTTGGGAACAAATGCTCAGGTGCAGGGAATCTTTGAGAAATGAGCTTTTCATGTTTTCATATGGTCTTTTGGAACTAGATGGTGAGCTACTTCGGGGGCTGTGTTAATTTCTTTCTATCTCACACACCACTTAGAGTAATGCTTTACCCATAATTACCTCCCTGCTGTTACTTGTTGATTGAAAACATCATCACTGAATATAATATCTACCTATTTCAATAAGTAGCTTTGCTATATTAATGTAACCAAAGTGATTCCATTGCAGTGTCAGGCTAGCTAAATTCTAGAAGTAAGGCAACATAATGAAAACGTCTTAGCGCGAGAGTCAGGGGACCTGGATTCCAAACTTGCAACCAAACAATGAGATCTTGATGAAACTATTTAATTGTTTAGGGTTACTGATTCCTCATTTGAAAATAAGGGGTTTGAAACAGATTGTCTCTGAGATCCCTTCCCTCCCCAATGAATCTCTGATTGTAATTATACCCACCTGTATTTTGACAGTTGTCTCTCCCCCTAATTCTTGCATGGTATTTCCTCTCTTACTGAGGGCAAGATTTTGGCTTTCAGGATCTGTTTCATCTGCCATTATTTGGCAAGAGTTGTCATCTTTCTCATCAAGAGCTAGTAGTTCTGCAGCTAGACAACCTAACAGTTCATCTGGAGATTCTTCATTCTTTACAGGGTCTAGAATTCCTTGGGAAATTGAATCTGCATCATTTAAAGTTTTTCCAAATGTTTGACATGGAATTGACTTATTAGCCAAACTATCATGATCCAAAGAATGTGCCCAACGTTGATATGCTTGAGAAGATGCACTTTCTTGTTTCTCTTGGAAAGAGAAACTCATAAGTGTTTTACACTTATCTGAAACACTGTCAAACTCTACCTCATTAGTTAAAATTTGATTGGCAATTAGTTTCACCAGGAGATACTATAGTCTGCTTTTCTTGCAGTACATGCTTGCTGGAACTCTTCTCACTGGGCAGTGCCCAGCTGTTTTCTGAAAGGACAAATGGGGTTTGGTGATTTGCTCTTCCAGTTCATGCAGATCTCTGAGGCTCGTGGCAAGTATCTGATTGCTAGAGATGTCTCCTTCGTCAAGACTTCCTCCACAATGGACAAATCTGAGACAGGAAGGAATTCGTTCTGTTCGGTGGACTGCTCATGAGTCTGATCCATGTTCATGGGCTGAACTTCATCTTTGGAAGATAGAAAGTCATTTCCTGAAGACTTTATCTGCTATTCTGGTTCTGAAATACCATCACCATTTTCAGTGTCATTGCTACTTACAGGCTGGCAACGCTTTTCTTTTTTTTCTTTTTTCTTTTTTTTTGCGGTACGCGGGCCTCTCACTCCCGGGGCCCCTCCCATTGCGGAGCACAGGCTCCGGACGCGCAGGCTCAGCGGCCATGGCTCACGGGCCCAGCCGCCCAGCGGCATGTGGGATCCCCCCGGACCGGGGCACGAACCCGCGTCCCCTGCATCGGCAGGCGGACTCTCAACCACTGCGCCACCAGGAAAGCCCCAACGCTTTTCTTTAGAAATTAAACTTTTGTGCTTTTGTTTAATGCCAAGAGAAGACTTTGGGGGTTTAATATGTGGTCTTTTCTGAGAGAGTCTGGTTCGGCTCTTGCTGGTCCTCTCACTGTGTGTGAAGATCGACATTTATTGGTGATACATCTGCCCGATGAAGCTGAGCATATCTCTTGGAAATATTTGTTTTCATGCTGTTCAGCCTCTGGCATCTGACGATAAATAGGAGTCCTGAACGTTTCGTAGATTCCACGTCCATTTGCAGTTGAACTGATTTCTTTGAACATGTCACTGTACTTCAGATCTAAGTAATTTAGGCTCTGTTGGTTGAGCAGAGAGAGGAGCAGAAGACTTTTTTATTCCTGGATTTTTACAGATGCAAGGGAGTGATTGCTTTTTAGGTTTCAAAGCCCGGTAAGTGGATTGCTTCTTTTCTATCTGTGGCATTCTCTTTTGAAACGTGGGTGATTGCCGAGGTCTGGGGTCCACAAGCCCCAGAGCAGGAAAAACTTGAGTTTTTATGCTGGTTTTGTGCATGGTAGGCTTCATGGAACTTTCAGTGGAAACCATGAAATTCTGAGGTGTCCTGTTACTGGCCTTGGTCTTTGAATCCAACTTATTTCTATGGGTTTTCATTTTATGCATGTCATTTCTTGGTCTGCAAGTATGTTGAAGCTACTGTTGTTATGAAGGATGCCCTTTCTTTTTTGGAGGCTTGGTTTAGTTGTTGCTGGTTCCTTGGGAGTTTCATCTCCAGGGAAAGTGATGTGGATAAGAGGCACCATCCCGTTCATTTCTGGTTTGGTTGCCTCTGCTACTGATATTTTTGTTTGTCTCCATGCTTCTGTGATCTTCTGGGAGCTTTTCAATGGGGTCATGAGGAACTATACTGGACAAACTTTTAAGAACAGTATACTCTTCTGAAATATGATTTGGCTCAATTACTTCCCCTTTATGTGCTGAAGCAGTTTTTGAATCAGCTTTATCATTTCTAGTCCCTTCATCCTGGCTTAGAGTCATTTCTGAATGCAGGGCTTCTTGGAACTTGACTGGTTTGATATATCCAGCTTCTGAATCTCGTTCATAGTTTCTTTCCTGATGAAAGAGATTGAGTGCTCTCTTCTGCTCTTCTCACTTCAGCACCATGGCAGTCAATATCCACTTCCCTATCGTAGGAAAATTGCCTTCCTTGAAATTCTCAAAGGACACCAAAGACTGTCCTTTTTCAAAGTGAGAGATTTCAATGTTGACACATCACTCTGTTTCCTTGGATTTCCTACTCTCCTGTCTCCAGGTGTTGTCTGTGATGGTGAGCCTTCCAAAAAAAGCACATGTTTCTGGACCAGATAGAGCTATCAAATGACCTGAGAGTCTGATCCCCTAACACCTTGAATGGTGCTTCCTTCTGCTTGTTTGATGGTCTAAACTCACCAGATCGACTAACAGGCTCTGAGAGCTTAGGTATGAAAGATATGAAGCTTGGAATATTTCTTTCTCTCTCTTTCTGATCCTTATGATTTGGGGGTATAGTAAGAAGACAGGATCTCACAGGCAAGGGTGACAATGGTGGCTGAGGGAACTAAAAGGAAAGAGAAAAAGAATGAATGCAGAAACACATACGCATATCATATTAATAAAGTAATCTGAAGAAATTTCAAGATTCTCTTTAGGAAGTCCTTTAAAGTACAAAGTTATCCTGGAGATCACAGTTTTAAAAACTAAAATCTTATGCCTGGTGTTTTTTAAGAACCAAGGTAAGACAACACTTTTAAAAACCAATGTTAACATATATAAAGATTCATGGTTATATGTTTAAAATAAAGGCCCTACATTGTAAACAATAGAACTTTTAAGTTTTTTAAAATTTCTATTCTCTTTTCTGTTTACTTTCTGTTTTATTTCATTCTCTTTTCTATTTACTTTCCATAGAATTGATCTAAGATTTTTAAAATTCCCCCTTAGAACAGCTTAAAATTGCTGTTACATTTACTGTAATAGTGATCGTTAGGTTGCAAACCAACCCAGAATTTGTATTCAGAACACAACTGTTCCTCATTATTTGGCTGAATTGTTTTGTTGAGAGTGGCTTATAAATGTGCCTCACTATACACTTGAGAGTTAGCTCCCTAAATGGGTTTTAATTCTCCTTGGCCCTCCATTTTCAAATTAAGCAAGTTTATATTATTATCAACCTCTAGAGGTCAGTGTAACCCAATATATAATATTCAGCTTTTTGGTTGGTTAAGCTATAAGCTCTAACTTTACAGTTTTCACTGTGGCCTTCCCCCTCCACCACCCAACCCTCCGGGTATAGAGATTTGATAACTAATTATATCAATATTTATAGGCATAGATCACGAGTGGTAATTGAGAGCTTTATGTTTAATTTTCATTCTGTTGCCACCTGTGTGTAAGAAGACAGGAAAAGGAAACTGACACTAGAAACAGGCATTAGAAACAGGTGAGATGCAGTATAATCCCCTAGTTTCATTACCTAGATGACTTTCTTCCATCTCTCAAAATACAGATTCTCCCAGTGCTTAAACACCTCTGCAGTAACAGCCGTTATTTCATTTATTTACTTTTTAGGCCAATAAAGTCCTTTTTTCAACACTAAGCAGTACCTATGCATTTTCTCAAAGGCTCATAGAATACAGAAGAGTCAGTTGAGAGAATTGCAAGGCTCTTTCCAAACGCTTTACTTACAAATGAGACAACTAGGAAAATCTTTCTACCAATGGAAAAAGAATTACCTCATTTCTCAATACGTTAAAAGAAGAAAACTTAAATATGTCCAAAAGAGCTACTCACTTCATTATGTGGACAACGGGAAACACCCCAGAAAAGAAATATACGTGTCAAGATATAATTTTCCCAGAAATTAGCTCCTCTATAAACTGTATGTGAGTTGTGGTTTTTCCAAGATATATGCTGAGGATTTGGGCTCTGAGGGGTTTTTTTTTGCGGTATGCGGGCCTCTCACTGACTGTTGTGGCCTCTCCCGTTGCGGAGCACAGGCTCCGGACGCGCAGGCTCAGTGGCCATGGCTCACGGGCTCACGGGCTCAGCCGCTCCACGGCATGTGGGATCTTCCCACACCCCGGCACGAACCCGGGTCCCCTGCATCGGCAGGCGGACTCTCAACCACTGCACTGCCAGGGAAGCCCTGGGCTCTGAGTTCTTTGATAGGATTTGTCTCTAACAAGATGCTTTGGTTAATCCTTAAGTCAAAAATGCTCAAACTACTCTTACCTCAATTCTCCGGCTACTATACTTCATATTAGAAGAGGAAAACACTGTAACAAGAAAAATTATTATTTTTTAATAAGGTTTTTTTAAAAAAAGATAAATTTATTTATTTATTTCTGGCTGCGTTGGGTCTTCCTTGCTTCCTTCCTTTCTCTAGTTGTGGCGAGCAGGGCCTGCTCTTTGTTGCAGTGCTCAGGCTTCTCATTGCAGTGGCTTCTCTTGTTACGGAGCACGGGCTCTAGGAGCGCGGGCTTCAGTAGTTGTGACACATGGGCTCAGTAGTTGTGGTGCACAGGCTTAGTTGCTCCGTAGCATGTGGGATCTTCCAGGACCAGGGCTCGAACCCGTGTCTGCTGCATTGGCAGGCGATTCTTAACCACTGCGCCACCAGGGAAGCCCCCAAAATTATTATTATTATTATCAGATATTCTTAGTAGTAGAGTGAACACAGTCGGCCTTAAGCCAGGCGATGGCGATGGAGTGATCTTGGTGCTGAGGTTTGAGGAAAAGTTGTCAAAATGAAGAATTTTTCCAGGCGTAATCCACATGGCAGTGGGTACAGAATGATTACACAAAACTACTGCCACTGAGGAGGGTTGTTGTTTTATATACAATGTTGTTTTTTATATATATCTATGTTATATATATCTCTCTGTTTTATATTTATAACATTTGCGTATATATAGTGATATTTATTTATTTTTATTTATATTCCTTTTGGAAGCACATGACCTCTGGATCAGAAAGCAGAGCACTTATCACCCACAGGGCATCCTAGTGCCAGTTCCCTGCAGCCCGATTTCCCACAGGTTGACACAAATGAGAACCAGGTGCTTACCTGCACCGGTAGTGAGGCTGCACCGTAGGAGGAGACCCTGAAATTATGAGACTCAGAGCTTATGTATAGAGTTCTGGCAGTTCAACCCATCTTCCCCTTCTGAGAAAGAGAGACCTTCACTATGAAATGTAAGCAAGTGTCTCCAGGAGAAGGGGGAAATGTGTCTCTGGGTTTTGTCTGTTTTTTACCCTATTAAGTAAGTAAACAGCTCTTGGCAAAGCCAGCTTCAGTCTTTCTGGAGCAATAGCTTATCTCTAACTTCCAAGGCATGTTTGCCATTCAGTCATCTTTCAACCTAGTCTCCTAGTGCTTTTTGCTCAGAAAACCCAGACTTTGCAGAAATGTGAGAGTATTTATGTATAATTGTCTCCAATCCGTTGTTTGAACTCAAACATGGGATAGATCATAAATTCTGAAGGAGTGTGGGGAATGGTGAGATGAGATTTACTAGGTAGGGTAAAACCCAGACGTTGTTTTCTTCTTACCAAAACATCAGAATGGTCCCTAAAAACCCCACTCACCATCATGGGTTGAAGCTGAAGCCAAAAGCTCCAATATGTTCAGGGTCAAAGCAGGCACATAAATGAATGAAGTGGGGTAAGTAGGGACAGTGGTGAACTGAAATTATGTGCCCCAATTACAGGGATATCCATTCCCCAGTTCTAGTTGGTGTTGTCCATTCCAGATGGGTAGTCCAGCACTGCTGGATCTTCCAATTGCCAAGAGAAGCCAGAGAGCTGGAGACTTTATGTGAAATCTCCTTCCCATCCCTTTTTAAAATACTTTGAAGGCCGAACAAAATATGCCTGTAGGTCCTTTTTGGCCACAGGCTGCCATTTTGAAATTTCACTTAGCGAGACCTCTCTGAGATGTACCACAGGTAGAAGCCATTCTCAGGTGAAAAATGGTCACCTAAGAGGATTCCAATAGGAGGGGGATGCGGACATTCCCCTTAGCCACAGCTGGCCAGAGCACCACCCCAATTCTTTTTTTTTTTTTTCTTTGCAGTACGCGGGCCTCTCACTGTTGTGGCCTCTCCCGTTGCGGAGCACAGGCTCTGGATGTGCGGGTCCAGCGGCCATGGCTTACGGGCTCAGCCGCTCCGCAGCATGTGAGATCCTCCCAGACCGGGGCACGAACCCGTGTCCCCTGCATCGGTAGGCGGACTCTCAACCACTGCGCCACCAGGGAAGCCCCACCCCAATTCTTTATCCATTTATTTAACCAATATTCATTGAGTGCCTACTGAGTAGCCAACACTGTCCCAGAAGATGGCAATATAATTGTGAACAACAAAGACAAAATTCTTGCCCTCATTGAGGTTGTATGCTAGAGGTTGAGATTTTCTGTTGAAAAGATATTACAAGTTAATACTAGAAATATAACTGAATATGATTTATAGTTGGGTGCTTATGTATAACACCCTGAGTTTAAAAAATTCAGGTATTATAAATATTTAGATGAGTAATATCCAGTATTGATAAGGAATGACGTGAGATATAAAGGCACTCTTAAACATTTCTGGTGAGAATGTAGAGGTAAGATCTTTCCAGTAGGTAATGTGGTAATATATATTGAAAGCCTTTTTAAGTGTGTATAGAATTCCAGTTAAAAGATTAAATGTACAAGCTTTTCTCCACTCTCTCCACAAACCTCACTAAAATGATGGTAGACTAATTTTTTAAAAAGGTAAAGAAGGGAATTCCCTGATGGTCCAGGGGTTAGGACTCAGTGCTTTCACTGCCAGGGCCCGGCTTCGATCCCTGGTCTGGGAACTAAGATCCTGCAAGCCATGCAGCCAAACAAAAAAAATAAAAGGTGAAAGAACAGCAAAAACCTAGATGGTAAAATCACACATGCACGACATCAACAAAATTTTGGAAGGTGAAAACTATTGGTGAGCTTCCTTGGTGGCGTAGCGGTTGAGAATCCGCCTGCTGATGCAGGGGACACTGGTTCAAGCCCTGGTCCGGGAAGATTCCACATGCCGCGGAGCAACTAAGCCCATGTACCACAACTACTGAACCTGTACTCTAAAGCCCACGAGCCACAGCTACTGAGCCCGCATGCCACAACTACTGAAGCCCGTGCACCTAGAGCCCATGCTCCACAACAAGAGAAGCCACTGCAAGGAGAAGCCCGTGCACCACAACGAAGAGTAGCCCCTGCTCACCACAACTAGAGACAGCCCGCACGCAGCAACGAAGACCCAACACAACCATAAATAAATAAATTTATTTTTTAAAAAAACTGTATGGATGAATAATAACCAGTTTAGTAGTCAGCTTTCTCTGTTCTGCTCACTACCTGCAGAGTGTAGAACTCAACAAGAAATAATAACCCCAGAAAGGAGCAGGAATTAAAGATACCAGGTGCCTCTGAAGGTGGGCTTGCAGGTGAGTCTGAAACGGGTTGCTTCAAACTCTGTACAAGGCGTTGGTTCCAGATTCCCTGTCCTGTGTCCTGCTCCACTTGTCAGGGGTTGCTCTTCTCCATTCCTGGCTGGAAGTTTATTCTCTGAAGAGCTTGAAACAAAGATGCGAAGGAGCTAGGTACAGCTGAGTGCAGAAACCGGGTGCTGGAGTGAAAATGTGAGGATAAATGAAAGCCTCCAAATTGACATATGACACTCCAGCCTTATAACCTACAGGCAGGAGCTTGGATTCTCCTTCTCTCGGGCAAACTAGCTGAGAGAAAAGCCTACCTACGCATCCTGACACTAGGGGAATCCGTCACCCAACCATCCAGGTCTCTGTCCACTCCACAAGCCCCCTCGAGCCTCTGGCACTTTTTAGTCTCCCCCTCTTAAATACAAATAATCGCCAAGGATCAACTGATATATGGGAATAGCCTCTAACATGAAAATACACAGAACAAAACAGAAAGAAAGAAGAGAGCTCAGAGGAAATAGAGACAATGAAAAACTACCGTTAATATCATTCATGTACCTTCTTCAGGAAGCTATGGGAAAATTTACCTTCCTAAAGTGAATGCATTAATCAAGAGAGAGGAAGCCGTGTACCCAGTACACAGGGGTTCAACACAGAGGGTAGCCAAGGGCATTTCCAGGATAATGATGAGGAACTCCCAAAGAGACAGCTGGTCAGGAGGTCCAACACAGAGTGAAACAGGAGGGCAGAGCATTCCAGGAGCAAGGTCTTAGAAAACAAGAAACCAATGGATTACCTGGTGTGCAGTTGCTGTATTGAGGTGCGTTTCACAGGTCCATCAGACAGGATGGGGATGAATTAGTGACAGATATACAGAAAGTAAGCAAATGGTGAAATGAGGTGAGTATTAAAGCTGGGATAAATAGAATGTCTCAAAAGAAAAGCAATGTAATCATAGCACACCCTGGGGCTCAGCTGTGAATGGTATTTTACCTAGTCATAATAAGGGAGACATTGAATATTAATTTTTTTTAAAGCACAAAGATTTCGAAGCTTGCCTGTGTGTATACAGAGTAATATAAAATTGTTAAACCCTAATAGATAATGCCTAAATTAAGCAATCAAGCAATGTAGTTATAAACATGTTATTTAGAAAAGTGGAATTACATTCTAGAAGAAACGGTCTTGAAACAGTATTTGTACTTCTTACTTTTTATTTTTGCTCACCTGTCTTTTCTGAATTTTTCTTAATTGACATATATATTGATTGTCTAAAATTTAAGATTGCATTTAAACAGAAATATTTTTAAAAAGGGAACAAACACCAGCCTGGTAAACCCAGCTGACTTCTTCAGACAAGATCATAACACCAATGGAGCAGATCCCATCACAGAATACTGACCTAACCCAGTTTGTTCTTGTTTGAATGTGCTACTTTTATTACGTCTTCAAGACTTTCTGTGGTTTGGCCAGGAGAAGAGGATATTTCCATAATGTCCAATTCAATCTCTCCATCCATCCTTCCTCCAGTTTGTACCTGAACCAACTGCCCTCCCTTTTCCCTAAATTCACCTCCACCACAAGACTAAATACTTCTCCTTTTTTTCCCTCATAACTAAAGTGGGGCTCAAATGGGCGGTGTGAGCTCTGAACACACATGACATGGTGCTTAAGCACGTTGGCTTCAAAGACAGGGAGTCCAGCTTTGAACCCAGCCTCTGTGACCCATCAGTTAATGTGACCTGGGCATGCACTTGACCTTCTGAGGCTCACTTTCCTTATTTCTAAAACAAGCATGCTAATATTACCTATATCAGTG